ATGCAGCAAAGTAGTACTGGCCGATCAGTAGCAGTTTGCAATGTCTACCGGCTTCCGCTCCTTCTGACACACCAATTCTACTTGTTCTTCTCGTGCAACGATTCCTGTAACGATTCCTTTTCAGCCTCGGGCGGAGTGTTCTGAGGGGTTCTGTGAGTCTTTTTTCGGGCGTGCTTTAAGCAAAGGTCGCAGTGAAGGCGATCGAGCGGCTCGGAGAGAAGGACACCCTGTTTCGGAACAGCTTGGGGTCAACCAGTAGATAGGAATCAGAAAGTCAGGTCCCGTTTGCAGGTCAGAATGTCATAAGTTTAAATGCTGGTAAGACAACCTCTTGACTTCTTCACTCTTCGATCCATTTGGCCAGTCGTCCAGCTTGATGAATTGAGATGTCTGCTTGGCCTGAATGCATGCGATGGTATCGAACTTCATGTTTTTGCACGACTGCGCACAGCAAAGACAGGTGTCCAGCATATTCGAGGCTCAGAAAGAAAAGACGAACGAGAAGGCAAGTCTGAGACGCAAGTGCTTCGTGTAAATGGCTGCCGCAGATACCGCATGGAACGTACGAGCAGACGCATGGCAAGCCTGCTTGTGTGAAAGCAATCAGTCTATTTCCGTTGCTTACCCGTGCCGTGTGCACAGACACAGAACTACGACGCTATGCAGCTCGAGATGGCGAGTCCACGCCTCAGAAGTTCTGGAGATTCTGCGAAACTTGGGCGGGAGGTAGGGCTCCGGTTCATTGTATCGTATGCGATTCAGAGGTGTGACTTCTTGAGTGTTCCATTGCTACGAGAATCTGGCACCTCGAGGCCTTCGAGCTCGTGCGGAGGAGATGGAGTCCAACATCTCGAGGTCTGACCCATAGTATAATCATAATAAGGAACCCNNCCTATTCTACTTATTAAGGCCCCTAGCTTGCATTATGTATTCATCTCCAAGTTCGCCTTGACGCCGATTGCTGTGCGGTAGATGTCAGCCTGTAGGCAGAGGCAATTAGAGCAGGTAAAGAGTCAAAGAAAGGCGAGCCGCTAGGACCGCTAGGAGCAGCAAGCAAGCGGTAGAAGAAAAGGTGACCCAAGGGCAAATGAAAGGTGATACCTTGGGGCAGTCTGCCATGTCTCCATCCGTTATGCAAGATGTAGCATGCCGCATGCCTTCATTATTTCGTTGTAAATCGCATGTTGGACTACAGGTTCATACGTTTCTACTGTCATTTGCATTTATAGTGCCTTGAATCCAGGCTTCCGTTTGGGGCGGCTTCGAAAGCAATAGTACTCTGCAGGGCGTCATCGTTGATCCTGCAAGTATCTTCTGAAAGCAAGACAACCCTTTAGTCATGAAGGGTGCTGGCCCTGAGGAGCTAGCAGCTCTGGAGCATTTGGACTTCTGACTGGCAGGTTCCGCGTGCGCGAGTCCAATCTGAAAGAGGAGATGCAGGTGTTGCAGAGCGATCGTAGAGCAGGCTGGTCCGGAGTGAGCAGCCAAAACATCATAGGAAGATTTCGCAAGGTGACAGTCACTATAGGGATCGAATGCACATTTTTCTTAACACCAGACGACGAAAACCTCGAGGCAAGCGACATTCCGACGAAGCGGCTGCCTACCGCACAGCCATGGAGAAGGCGAGTGGCCATGGAAAAAGGGGAGCTCCGGATTGTCAGGGGGGGGGGGGCAAGGCAAGGCATGGCAAGGCACTGTCAAGACTCTTAGCCGAGTCCGAAGCCGGCTTTCAGAGACAAACGAGCACGAGCCCTGCTCTGAAATCACTTTGTCAGGCGCATGACGAGCTTCGCACGGTGAGGAACGAGCTCAAAAGTGCTACCAAGGACGGTGCCCAGCTGCGATCATGGGGACAAATGTGGCTGCCTGGGGTGCAGTATTTCTTACAAGCATGCTCCTGGGAGTACGTTGCTCGGATACCATGTTCTATACTGTTGTTGCTCGTGGGATCTCGCCGGCCAAAATGCTTCAGTTTGTCCACACTTGAAGGAGGTAGGGCGTTTGTCGCACCAGCTCCGTGAGAAGAGTGCGACGCCGGCACACTTGCCCTGCATCGCTTCCAGTGGGCCAGCAGGGTGTTTTGTCATCGTGTATGCAGCATCATAACGGGAACAGTCAAGTGGCGAAGGAGACATCTGAATACAAAGTGATTCAGTCAGCACCTTGCCCACACACTGTACTGTAGGAGGATTGGCATTGGGATTGTCCGATCTCTGTGAAGATGTCATGTGGATCATGTTGACAAAAATATAAGTTGAAAGCAACAGGATGAGCAAAGGAGCAAGGAACAACATAGAAGCGCGCGCCACGGCTGCGGCAATCTGAATAGTTTTTGGAACAACCAGCGAACAGCCTATTTCTGCCTCCCCGACAGCATGGCGATCAGATGTAGGTGAAAGCTCAAGCCCACGCCTGAGCATGGGAAGGCCAAAAGCAAACATTCAAGAAGTCACAGCGCACCATCAAATGCCACAAGCACGCTTTTTGGGCACGAGCACGAATTCTCGGTGAGCTCTTGGAATGCCAGGTTGAGTTGGAGAAGGTGCAGAAGGCCATGGGTGCGGAGATCGACGCACCTGGACAGCAACAAGACAGGTTTTGAAAGCATCGATTTTTGATACACCAGTTTCTCTTGCTACTTCCAGGCTCTTCCTTATTCAAAAGCTTGCCATGCTTGCCATTTCGCAGTCGCTCGCTGACGCCAGGCACGGAAGAGGACCAAGGAGCCTGGGCGTGAGTGGGTTTGGTTCATGCCTGAATCTGCCCTGTGGTGCCTTCCTTCGGAGGCTCAGCTGTTGAACAGTTTGCATGATGTTGTCAGGACCAACTTGATGACCAGCAACGCGGCTACGAGGAGGACCGGGATGGGGATTCCTGTTATCGCATATACGAAGATTGTGACTCGGCGGCCAGGGCTGCATCTACGAGTTGGGAAAGGAAGCATGACAATTCCAAAAACCGGACATGCAAAACGAAGCACACGAAAGCCCATAAACGCACACTACTTTCGACGAAGCCACAGCAGGCCACAGCACAAGCGATGATCGGAAGCCATCCGAATCGTTGATAGCAAAACTGATCTTGCTGTACTAGTACTTTGCAACGGGAGCACTTCTTTCGATCGAGCGCCGCCCCTCCAAAGATGATCGCAGCAAGCTAGGGAGAGTATGAATGCCAGTCGCGTGGCAGACGCTATACCGATACTGGTCATCCTTAGGGGATTTTGGCCATGAGCGTCCCCTGCTTTTGCCAGAGGAAGGCTGTCGTACTCGTGTTGGAAGCTTTTTTCAGTCTTTCAGTCTGTCCTTTGAATTCCAGTATCTTTGATGCGCTCCTAGGTATGTATCCGAAAGGCCCTGAAATCAAGTGTAAGCCTGTAAGCCGGTGCACCAGTGAATGTGTATGCAGTGCGGTTTTCAACTTCGGTTTGAGCGACATTTGGTACTCCTACATGCTGGCAGTGAAGGCTCAGGGTAGCGTTCCGGGAGCCCATCTTCGTGCTCCCATCCTTCGAAGCGCTCGTGAGCGAGTACGCGCGACATCCAATGTGAGCTCATTTTCCACCACGGCAGCGCGCAAATTGCTGTTTTGCAGCTAGACACGCGACATGTCGAGTGTACTACTGAAAAACTGCTGCTCTGCCCGAGAACAATCGAGAAAACGAAATCGAACACACCGCGGTCCCGAATCAGTGCTTTCGCAGCTTCCATTCCGGCCAGGCACAGCAGAGACTTGCCCGTGCCGGAGATGTCGAAGCTGCCGGCGCCTTTCTTGCTTGGGTTGCTTGGGGCAGGGGAGCGGGAGGCCACCCCCGAGTGGCCAGAATGGCGGACAGAAGCTGTGTATGCTTATGTAGATGTACTTTGCCTCAGGCCCTCCGGCAAGAACTGGCGAATGTCCGCTCGGAGCTTGAAGATCTCGAGGAACGAGAGGCCAGCAGCTCTTCGTGAAGAGCAGACTACCAGGGTCTCACTCAAACTGCGGGCTTTGTGTGAGAAGCCCTAAGCGTTTAAGGAGACTTTCTGTCCAAGGAGTTCTAAGGATGGAGGGATCCCAAAGATGCAAGCGGAGCAATTCGACTCGATTATGCAGTGCCACTCGAAGCAAAGTAAAGCTTAAGGCAGCCAGCCGAAGCTGGCCGCCTAGCAACTCAATGTTTGTGGCCAGACTAACCTCATCGCAAGAATGTCATGGTGTTACTTACCATGGCCGTCATCGGTCATGAATGGCAGTCCTGCCACTACAACCGTCGACATCATCAATCAAGTTTCCTCCGTGGGAGGCCAAGAGCAACGAGATGGCTGCGGACATCGAAGAGGAGATGAACCAGTTGGCCGACCGGGCCTGCATCAAGGGGTGTTGCAGCATTGGGACCTAAAGCTTACACGAACTTTTGAGGGCTCAGAAATGGGATTAGTACACAGAATTCAACCTGGGGCCATGGTGCACTGTACTGCTGTGCCTGTCTTTTTGCTGAAGCTTCAATTTTGGCTTTGCCTTCAGCTGCACAGCGGCCCTTGCGAGCTTTTGCTGTGATCGCCTGTCTGGTGTCTACCGACTTCAACTAATGTTTAGGACAGGCTGCGGTACCTGTAGTTGGCATGACAAGCCGGGGAAAGTTTTCGGTTCCCACCTCCCTGTTGAAAGCTGCACAGGTGAGAGAAGCCAAGAAGACAATGAAAGACTTGGGCGAGAAGAAGAAGCGTCGGTTCTGGGTGCGCCCGGCATTCTGGAACCTTAGTCTTGCGGCATGAAGTTTGCCATGCTGGAGCGTTGTGCAGTACGTCTTCTCACGGCATGTTCAGCATGATGAGTGAAGGTGCTTTCGGTAGGCTTGTGTAGAACCGTGCTTGCAAGCATCTGTAAACCTGCAACCTTGTCTCCTGCCTGCCAGCCGTTCCGCTAAAGTGCGGGGGAAAATCAGATCCGATCTTGCCCGGTGCCTACCCGCAACAGTGCAGAGTGTTTTTCCGCTCATACCTCTTACATAAATGCGCATGCAAGCATACGTGCATACGGACAGACTTACATACATGTGCATACATGCTTACATGAATACGTGGAACCGAGTGAGGGCAACAGGGTAGTTCTCGCGATGCAGGGTTTCAGCTCCGATTCTGGCGATCTTCGATAGATGAGGGTAAGCTTCCAGGCCCAGGGTGTAATGGACGTGCTGGCCGAGGCTGCGAAATCGCTAAGAGGTGACGGTGCCACAAGTGCAGCCTTGGCAAAATTGTTTAAAAACGTTCCGTTGTTCAGCTGTTCGGATGCAATGTCTGCGAAGCTCAGCTGAACCAGCTTTGAGCGCGGGAAGGCGGAGCAAGGGCATTTGAGGAGAGCGCCCCTGCACCCTCAGCCACTTTGCTAGACTGCGTCTCAGTTTAGCGCGGAAACAGCCTCAGTTGGGCGTTTGAAAGTGCTGATGGCCGTCTGCGTGCTGTTTCCAGTTCCAGCCTTGAGAGTGGAAGGCTTGCCTGCTACGGTCTAAAGCAAACGGTTTCCATGCAGTGGTGGCAGCCTTCCCTTATGGGCGAGAGCCCGAAATCGCCGCTTCATTGCAGTGCGAGAAAAAGCAGGGGACCTTGCACGATCCGACTCGATCCTAATTGACTTGATTTGACTTGCATGATGAACGCCCAGCTGCGTCGCCGCCTGCACGGTTTGCTTCACGAAGGTGGATCCAACCAATCACCCCCGTGCCGGGGAGCCTTCTCTTTGTTGGTGCGCGAAGAGTCAACATACATGCATCGCGCGGACACCGCAAAGCTGAAATTGACTTCCAACTTCGGGAGTCTGGTGCGCAGCTGATACTCAGCTGGTAGGGCAGAGGGTCTCAGCATGACATCGCCGACCTCCGAAGCCACCACCCAGCAGGACCGGTGGCCGTGCAAAGCCTGGCGTTTTCTGAGCCGAATACGGCCGATTTTCGAAAAAAAACGAGCTCACAGTACCAACTGTTGGACCCGGCTGTGACATTGAAGGGCCCCGGCAGCATGAACCCTTGCACATCGCCGCAGCGCAACTTTTGTAGATAGTCTCGCGAATCGAAATGTGGACAGTGATTGTGTGTGTTTCTCATATTCCAGGTCGGCCCCAAGCCCCCAGCATGATTTTCGATCATTCTCGATCAGAAAGATTTCTGGAACGATTGACCGATGCAGACAGTGATGGCCGGAACCTTATGGGCAGAAGGCGCACTTGCCGGAGAGACTTTCCCATCGTACGACATCCGTCGTCGGCCACGAGCCGTCTGAGTTTCCAGCCACGCGAGGCGTGCGTGCGCTGTTCGCTGACGAGTACACTTCTGCAGCGAAGCTGCGCCGGTCCCAGATGTGACCGCGCAGGACATCCATCTTGCGATCAGCGGCAACCAAAACTTGTAATGCAACCCTGCCTTGCCGTTTCCTAGGTTTGCTGCTTCCATCCAGGACAGACCGCAAAGTACCGTTGTTCTGCGGAGGCTTTTTCAGTCCGGAGGGCCTGCACGTGATCATCCTTATCCGGATTCGTGACTGCATGTGTGGACGGAAGTTTGGGCGATGATGAAACACGGAATGCGAGATGTCGGCTGTTCTCCCCTACCCCCTTACCCTCTCTCTCTCTCTCTCCCTCTCTCTGTGTGCAGAGACTGGCAGCTGACGAGGACGAGCTGGTAGAATCGAAAATCGCCGCGAGGCTGCGTCATGCTAAGAGGCTTTTGAGGGTGGCTGGTACCACTGGTGGAGCAGCAGCCGGAATTTCCACGTTCTTGCCTTGGCTGTTTTGCGGTTTGTCCATGTGTGCTGCCAGGCGTCTACACTTCTTGGCAGAGATGCTGCTGGACAGTGGCCATCCACTGGAAGCTATCAGGCGTTGACATAGGGTGTAGGAAGCTGTGGAAGGCTTCTGACGGCAGGGCTACCCTCACCTGCTCTGTCATACACTTTCCAGGGAGCCTTCGCAAACATGCAGTTTGAACTGACCACCGTCGCAGTCTGCCCTGTGAGTGGGAATCGCGCGATCTTCGAACATGTTTACCCGCCTAGAGTACAAAGTCTAGTACACGAAAGAGCATTGCCCCGTTCCACGGTACAACAGCTTGTTCGTCGGGCACATGTTGCCAGGCACTTGCAGCAGGCGGTGAAGATGGATCCAGACTTGAAGGAGGCTGAGCAGATCTTACTATTTTGGGTCTGTGCGTGATGAGGGAGTTTACCGTATAGGAGGCGTTTCCGAGGGGAGGCCAGATGAAGAAGGTGCGGTGGCAGTCGCGGAGCATATGGCGGTCTAGGGCAAACGTGTTTGGGGTTCCCCATCTTCTCGCATAACTTTCTAAACTAAACACAGAGAAGATGATGATGGAGGGCTAGATAGATTGTTCATTGTCTGCATTTCCCTTTATGTTTTATTGAGTGTAGAGAATGCTTATTTTGGGCGATTGGTTATAATGAAATACTCGTAGAAAGCAAGCACCGAAAGATAAGAGAATGAGAGCACCGTTCATTTCCTGACAAAGCCCTCTTTCTATCTCTTGCCTCAAATGAGAACTAGTCTACGGCGACGGCTCAAGCCTGACACTTTCCGAGTTGGGATCCTTTGCGGGAACGTGAAGTCTGGCACCATGGTTGCCTTGCGATGTGCAAGGTTTCTGTCTTTCTTACTCCCGTCGGCTGCATACCCGGGGTCCATGAGTTGCGACTTCACATGTGTGGGCGGCTACACACCCGGAAGCTCCTTCGGGTTCATTGGGTACTGTATCGCAAACATAGGATGCTACGGCAATGACTGATACTGCAGTGGTCACGTACTTGCGTGGCTCGTTTAATGTAGCTAGCAGGAGTTTTGGCAGTGCTGGGTCCTGTTCACCTCAACCGACCTTTGGATTCATGCCGAGAGCGAGCGCCGAAGACTCCGTGTAATACTAGTTTTGAAACGATCTTGCCCGCATGCGGCTCGCAGCTGCGCATGAATGACTTGATTCGCAGCGTTGCCCTGTTGAGGCCCACATTGCCCTGTGTATGTCACTCGAGGAGGCACTCCAGCGTGGTATTGTTGAAGGTGAAGGTGTGTTCAGGATTGTGTAGCTTCGGCGCTGCAATTGAAGTTTACTTTCGAGAACGGGTTAGTCCCAACGTTTAGAGGCCTTTTGAACTAAGCCCGATGCTCCTGCAGGTTCAGGACGATGATGGGCTCCGAGCTGCGGTGGCGGCAGCCATCGTGGAGGGTGGCCTCTGGTCCTCGCCAAGGCTCTCTCTGGGCACCGAAACATCGTCTAAGGACTCGCCTCGTCGTGGCCAAACAGCTAGCAGGGGCAATTTCCGCGGCTTTTTCTATTTCATGTCTTTTCCAGTTGCATGTTGGGGGCCGACCATTAAGTGACGACACTAGAAGGGTCTCGACCCGTGACAAATCAAATCCTGTGGTGTTCGAGCACGAAGGGGTTGCGGATGTCATAGTCTGGCAGGCAAAGACTTCGAGACCACAACAAGGAGGGCCTCTAGAAACAGCGCAATTTCGAAGCTACGACTAAGATCTAAGAAGCAGATAGAAACAGTTAGGATGCCACGTGCTTGCCCGAAAGAATCATCACTATGCAAGCCCAGCCGAAGTCCAGTTCCAAGATGCTCAACTGTCACTGAACCCTAATCCCCCTCCTGAAGCTCCGATGATGACGCAGGCAACGTCCAGCCGCTTATTTGCCAGATCTCGCCTGGATCCCATGGTTCTCAGGTCGGAGTTCTGTCTGTCTAGGCTTAGCATCGACTCTTGGTTGTTGCGGTTGCGGCGTTTTCGTGGACTTCGGCTCCCAGCCCAACAGATCATAAACGGCCCGCGCCCTTGCTCAGGCGTCTCAGCCTTTCTGGGATCCAACGACGTTTCCCTGGGTCCAGGCATGGAGCTCACATGAGCTTTCGCTGCACAACACTACAGTAGAGACTCAGAGTCTGTTCAGAGCTAAGGCTGCTAAGTTTACTTCGGGGGGTGTCCGAAAAAGACAGGAGATTCGATGAATAAACCTGGGCAATCTCTCGCTTGGCCAAGCTCGTGACATCTTGCAGCAAGGGTGCCCCTTGCCGGCACGACTTGGTCCCGCTTATCGCCTTAGAAACTAAATGAACAACAGCTGTCATGCACAGGCGCTGGAGGCTGCCTCGCCTCGGATACGTTGTGAGCTCGAGGTGTGAGGCTTAGGTTGTATGGCATTGTAATGGCTGGAAGGGCATCTCAGGTGACAAGGGGCTCCTTTCTCCGGGCATTTCAGGATTTTCGGGGTCAGGGCCAGATCCGAGTCAGAGCTTGGCTCGAGGCAGCTCCTGAACAACGTTGAACAACGAACACGGATCTTGAAAGCGATAGTTTGTTCTGGATTCTGGACGCGTGGATTTCAATCTCTTCACGGCTCGGAGCAGGTGCATCTGATAAGTCTGAGATGCATGATGCAAAGTACCGCAGTGTTTCTGTTGAGATGATGCGATGCAAAGACAGAGCTCTCGTCTCGCTACGCCTGCTGCCTGCGCTGGCGGCAGCTCTTGCATGGTTTCAGCTGAAGGACAGCTTTTCAGGTCTTCTTGCTGGCATCTCCAACAGGCGGAGCAAGGATGGTAAAATTTAAACTGAACCGAGCCCTGCAGCCCTAAACAGAAGCACACAAAGGGCTTTCAGCACCCTGCAAGGATGCGAATTCCTTCGCTGCTCCGGCGTTCGGCCGGGAAGGGGTCGCTGAGAAGCTCTTTTAGCAGATGTTTGTGGGGAAGAGGGTCGTCATCCAAATTTCTTATTTCTAGTAACTCTAGTAGTTTGTGCTCCCTTAGACATGGTGCGCCTTCGAGGTAGATTCCAGCTTGGACGTTCTGCTGGGTAGACGGAGCGAGGGCAACGACGTGATCGTCACAACCCTCGAGCGAGGAGATCGGCCAGCTGCCTACTGCAGAGGTCTTCGATCGCCCCTTCGCTTTGCCATCGCACCGAGGAAGACATATCCCTCAAAGGGTCATCGGGTCAGGCTCGGCGCCCTTCGATCCAGCTGCGGGTACATGCTTGAGAGCCGTGGCCAGGATCCTGTATGAAGGAAGGCTGGCCGCGACAGGCCGGCGCAAGCACTCAGAAACCCGAGTTGGTGTTGTGCGCGAGTTAGGCGAAGTTTTCGATCGAAGCGGCGACGAAGGAATCATGTTCAGGCCAGGCCATGGGCCACAGACTGCAGGAGGGCTCCACCAATTCCAGCTCACTCTCACAGCATCCAAGCTTCTCAAACTCAGCACTCGTCCATGGTTGAGGCTCGGCAAGATCGGCCCTGGTAGCCGGATGCCAGGCTGGTTTGTCGGTTGCTGTGTTCGTTTGGGAGCACCGGGCCAAGTTCGACCAGAGAAAGCTGCAAAGAGGTTCATGCACAGATTCACAGCACAGCAAGCTCTGAAGCGCGAACAAATCTGTGACATTGCGGACCCCGCACAGGCTTTGAGGCAGCAGCAAGAGGCTCAGCTCGTCGTCATGTCACTTTTGTTAATCTCATAAAGCGGTCACGGTGCGTCTTGCAACATCTTGAGAGCATCATGCGAGAGTACACGACAAGCAGGAAGGGCCATGCTCAATGAAACGCAGTACTAGTTACTAGTACAGAAGTCGTATCTTTGTAAAATATGATTCTGACCAGCTTCACCGCAATTGCTGCCATGTCATTCCTACCCACATATGAACTTCTGCAAGCTTTTATTGAGAAGCTTCCGAGCCTTTGTGCGCCGGGATGCATAAATCAGTTCAAGTCAGACGGGACATGAGCTAGGTCTACTCAGCCCACTCCGCCGACCGTTTTGGCTTAAACATGGTGTGCCACATAGAAGATATGAAAGGACAGCTCCTCCAAGTACTATAGGTACTCTGATATAGTCCATCCGGCCACGGCAATTAGGTTGCGATGCTTCGGCGTGCTTTCAGTAACAGTTTGTGGCCGAAACTCTTGCAGTTCGATAGATTGTTCGAAAAGCTTGAGATGTTCGCCGAAGCCCGGTCGTCTGTCGCTTCCCCCTTGTTCATGGATTCGATTCACGGCCCGCCAAGGTGTACCAGATGTCAAGAGGCGAGACGGCCCACGTCTGGATTCCCGCGTGCCAGGCTCGGCTTTGCAGCAGAGGTGCCCCTTCGGAGATCCAACGCCTGAGAGTCTGAGAGGCTTATGGCGCCGAAGGTGGTCAAGGCTCTGAGCTGCCGGTGCCGCCGGGGGCAGACCTGGAATTCCAGGCAAAGTGAAGACGCGTTGCGTAGCTGTGCGTTGTCGAAGGGAATACTACTAGTATTGGAGTAAGGGCGTGAAGGGGGTCATGTCCTTGCTTCATGCTTCCGGAACCCGCCTGTCCAGGTGACGTTACTGTGGATCAGGTGCTAGAGTGATCAGGGACAGTGACCGGAGCCTTTAGCCGGCAAGGCTCTGCCATTTTCTGCTTTCTGAGCACGAATCGCCTGCACAAGCACCCAAGGTGCAGCAGGGGGGCGGTTCTGTAGGATGTCGATCTACGACCCGCCTGCGCCATGATTTTGCACTTTGAAGATGGATATGTTGGCAGGGTCATCGGGTCATGACTGCGTGCCTTAGCAAAAAGGAGACTCAGAGAGTTTGTGGACAGCAAGTTCAGAACGCTTCGTGTGCGACTGCTCTTGGCATCAGAAAATCAAAAGCCCTCTTGCGACTTCGCACTGAAGGAAATCCTGCCTCTTCTCGACCATCCTCGCGGACCGAAGCCTCCCTGGGTGGGGGGCCCCGAGTGCTGCTTCTGCCGTGGTTAAGCACGACACCACACCTGGGTTTGAAGGTATCGTTCTTTCAAAATGTCTGTTCATGTCTGTTCCACGTGGCGTCTAGTAAAGCCCTCCCAGAAATATGGCACCTCTCGCCGTCCCTCACCCGCTGAAGGCGAGAGTCGGCAGCGCTCTCAGGCCTTTGCTTCGCAGTAGTGGTCTGCTAACAAAAGGTAAGTCGGTTCTAGAATGCTCCGATCCAGCTATGAGAGCAATGGGCAGCCTCGATCCCACGGAGCTTTGTTCCGCGCGCTTCCGTGTCCTAAGGAGGTGGCCACAGGACCTCAGGACGCCAGGATGGCGAAGCGGTCTTACGAGGTGGGCCACGGCTTGTCCATGAGGCCCCCCTTTGGCTGTGAGAAGCCTTGGTTTCTGCCGCAGGCGGCTGGCATGAGGTGGTCCTCTTCGGTGCAGGCGCACGCTTTGGTCGGCGGAGATTCTACTGTGGGCACAGTGCTGTCGGTCGACCGGAGCCCAGGCGACCCGGAGAAGACGAAGGAGGCGGGGGGCGGAGCAGGGCGGAGCGTAGAGGCAAAGAGAAGGGGGCTCCGTGGCGAAGCGGCTGCGAACTTCGAAGCCCCTGATCACCAGGCCGGCCAAGCGCGATGCTCGGCTGCTCTGAAGGCGATCCAGGACTTGCTGCCAGAGGCTGTTTCCCTGGCGGAGGCGACGACATGTTGGTGATTCAAGAGCAGCTCTGGCAGTCTTTGCAGTGACTTATTGCCTGCACATGAGCTCATAGGGTAAGCTACACGCATCTTTGGCAAAGCTCTGTGGCACACACTTCCACGGAGGCTGGTGCTGGAGAAGTTGTCCTATCCGCACTGTCCCCGGGAACAGATGTTCTTCGTCACTGCGGCAGGGCGGGCCCGCCATGCCTTCTCTTACTCCGCACAGGCTCTCCTTGCAGCCTTGGCGGCAATCTGCCGCATTCTGGAGCACTGGAGAGAAAGCCAGGCGAACCACCGCCTGACGGCTCACCTGGGGCTGAGCATTCCACAGGAGAGCTCAGAGAGCTCACCAGGTCCCGAATGCTCTTCTTTCGGGCGGTGCCGAACTCAGTGTCAAAGATTGAGAGGTGCAGACAACCAGCCTGCATGCGGCATCGCTGTTGGAGGCGAATGGAGGTGCCCGGGCCCCATGGTCACAGGGTCGCTGGACTCGGTGCAGATCGGAGCAAGAACCGTGAATCCAGAGTTCCCTCAGAGCCAAGGCTGGGAGAAGGACAAGATCCTGATCTTCGATGATTCCTTTGAACATGAGGCAGAGATTCACATCGTGGGCCAAGAGCGAGGGCGAGTTGCGCTGGAGCATTGCAGGTGCGTAATCATGCGGGCTCCACGCGAGTGGTGCTGTGCGAGGCTGAGCTGCGATGCTTCGGAGACCTCCAACACGAACTGGCATTGAGTGATGAAGCTTCCAATAAGGCTGATCCGATTCTGGCATCCTTCCCTCGACACGGCCCAGAAGAGGGACATGGCACTGCAAGAGATCCAGGCCTGCCCTGCCCGACTCGAGAAGCCACTGCTTGCCACATTTCGTGTTCTGCACCATGCCGTCGATCGCAGGTTTGATGGATACCCAGAGATATTCTCGAACCCGAAGCCTTTGCTATGACAATCGCTGTCTTCTACCGTGGCCGGAACTACTTGCATGACATGACTATACCTATCTTCTGCCATTGCTGCTGTTAAGACCTGTGTGACAGAAATCCCGAAACCGTAAACCGCTAAACCCCTAAACCCCTAAACCCCTAAACCCTAAATCTCCAAACCCCTAAACCCCTAAACCGTGGTGTCTTGAGATTCTGCCTGCTTTGCGGGGGGCGGCCTCTCGACTCAGCGTGGAGTAGACCATGAACGGCAGGAACGAAGGTGATACAATCCACCCCCAGCTCTTTTGGGTTTAGGGTTTAGGGGTTCAGGGGTGTAGGGGTTTCCTACCTACCTACCTACCTACCTACCTACCTACCTACCTACCTACCTACCTACCCACCCAACTACCAGGGGTTCAGTTTTTTTTTAGTCTCTGTCGATCAGAGTCTATCAGCTTGGTCTCTGCCACTGACGAAAGCAACGAGTGGCAGGGCATGTTAAAGTATCCTAGGAGATCTAAAGATTAACAGTTAAGACATACTTCGGACTACAGAACACCAAAAAAAGTTAAAGGTCACCTACTCCTCTACTAAGACTAAATCTAAAAATTAACATTTAAAAAATACATTCGGACTACAGAACACCAAACAAAGTTAAAGGTTACCTACTCGACTAAATTCAAGGGCACTCACCCCTAACCGAGCCCTTAAAGAAACCCTAAACCCTAAACTCTAAACCCTAAGCCCTAAACCCTTATAGGTCCCCTGAACTAGGACAACGAATCCAGGGTCGCTACAAAGCCCCAAACGAAGCTCTTTCTTGGGTACTGTCCCGATACGGTAGAGTATTTCAAGGGACTGCTACTAAGGGCCTTGTATATCTAGACTACTGTATGTATATATATATATATATACTGTTTTTGTTCGTACAAACCCCTCTCAGAAGGCACGCAATGAACGTGTCTTGAAGATCCCGAAAGAAGATCAGAAACCAACAAGGCCAACACACATCCAAACAGGAGCCAAACCCTAAACCCTAAACTAACCCTCAAACCCGCAAACCAAACAGCAGCTGGGCTCTTCGCCGCTAGGTTGCCAGACTGCTGCCTGCACATCGCTCCCAAGTTTTCGGGCTTGCAGGGAATCCCGGCTTAACGCTTTGACCCTAATGTAGGGGCCTTAATAATTCGAATAGGGCTTTGGGGCATATTATACTATAACT